ATTCTGTAGTATGATCAGTCACAGTTAAGTAGATTTCAGTCTCATTCATCAGTCATATGCTAGGGTAAAAGTGCACCATAGATTAGGCTGGCAATGCAAATAATATCTTTTTTTCTTATACCATTCAAAACATTAAAAAAGAGGTGTGATCCATCTCCACAAAACAAGACAAGATAGCTAATAACATGAGCCTCCCTATAATAGTGGTACCAGTCTTCTGGATAGTAAGTTTGTGATCAGTTTTAGTGTGAACTTCAAGGGAGCTGAACATTTTTTTCTCAAAGTTTGCATCTTTATTTATTTATTATTTATTTATTTAGAGTTTTTATAACCCGGTCTTCTCAACCTCCTAGGAGGGCCGGCTAACAACATAAGATTCAATACAATAAGAAAAACATAAATCAAAAACATAATAAATTTGAGAGTTGATTTAAAATTCATACTAAATGCTTGCACAGATTCTCTGTCCAACTGACATAGATGCCAGCACTACTGAACAGGAGAGAAGGAAGGAGCTGCCAATCCTAACTATGCAATGCTTTGAAATAAAATATATTAAAAAAGAAAAAAGTTTGATACAGAATGCACTTTATTATAACAGTGAAATTTAATTAAATTTCATTAAAAAGAAGTGCAGCAAGTGACACAATGACAGGGCAAGTGGTTTCTTGGCTGAGACAAATTTTTGAAGATTAGACAAACTCTTGAAGGATAAAGGTATCAGTGGCAACTGGTAGTTATTTGTTGCCTCTAGGATTAGTGTGTCTTTCTGTCCTAGTTGCTGGGAAACCCAAGTAATAGAGTGACAGTTCATTCATCTTCTGCCATTGGGCTTTCTGTGGGTATCTAGATAGCTACTGTGCAAACACAGTATTGGCCTAAACAGGCCTTTAATCTAATCTGTTCTGATCTCTGTGTTGTGACTGAGAGAAGGAAGGAAGGAAGGAAGGAAGGAAGGAAGGAAGGAAGGAAGGAAGGAAGGAAGGAAGGAAGGAAGGAAGGAAGGAAGGGGGAATTAGAAGGAAGACAAAAAGCTTGATATGACGTTTGGGTTGTATGTAAAATCAGCTTTCAGTTCTCAGGAGGTATATTCCAGTGAGTCTATGTTCATTTATTACATTTGAGGAAGTGGGGAATTATGTGATGTCAGGATTGGAGCAATAACCCTTCTACATCTCGTGACACCTTCATTTAAATATTAAATGAAGGGACTTTGTTTCTCTTCCACTGTTGCCTTTCCGTGATTTCAAAATATTTTCAGTGTATCCAGGCTATATCAGCAAATGTAGTCAGGGTAAATGTACAAAAGCATAATTTCATACCAATATTTTGTCCTTAGTCAAATTCAAAAATAAATCTAATTATAAACTAGATATAGGGTTGTTGTTGCTGTTTTGCTAGATATGTATTTTCCAGTTATGATTTGTTCTAAATATGGCTATAATCCTTGCTAATTGACTCAAATGATTATTTGGCTGAATGTTTTGCCCATTAAGTGGCAGTGTTCAACATGTAATTAATCTGCTTAATGTTGGCTATAAACTGACTGAATGCACAAAAGCATTTGTCATATTTTGATGGCATGTTTTTTCAGGTTTAATGATATTTATAAAACCATCAGAAGAACAACTAAACCATCAAATGCACTTTTCGTATGCTATCAGAGATTCCTTTTAGCCATGCTTGTTGTTTTCCTCGCTGACACTATCCACTTTTCTATCAATAGACATTTCATTATTGAACAAAGTGAGTTCTGACATTTTTTTAATTTCACCTTGCCTGTAATTTGATTCCCCCAGGAGAAATGACCAAAAGTTCACTTAACTAAAGCTTTCATTTAGTAAGCATGATGCTAAAATTGCAGTTCTCACAATACAAAGACCTTTTTGTGTGTCATATCCTTGACACTATGATTTTCCACTTGTAAAGTAGGGCACAAAATGGTTGGGTTTATTTTTAGTTGTGTGTTTTCAGAAATCCTTTCATGTATAATAAACAAGTGCATCTTTCCTCCTACACATAACATTCAGAAACATATAGGAAATGCATGCATGTATTTTGTCACGAAGGCAGAATGTTATTATTGCATGACCTGGAACTCTTTCATACTTTATTATAATACTATGATTCTATTTTATCTCCTGCAGCACCTTCCTATGGATTCTTGGCTTTTGTAACCTAGAGAGGCATTCTGGCAAATAATTCTAAACAACTCTTCCTAAGTAATTTAAAAGAACAGGATTCCAAAGGATGTTGCATGGTAGTTAAATTAAAATTGTGTCAGATGAAAAGGATAGGATCCCAGATATTTGGGCCTTGCCTTTGGTCTATGCTGGAAGTTGATCACAGAATCACATGGAGGGGGGGGCTACAAATTCCCAAAGGAATGCTCTCTCTGGGAATCCCTAGACCCACTAGTGTGCTCCTGTGGTCAACTTCTTGTCACATTGGAGGACCTAGGGATTCTAGAGAGAGCATTTCTCTAGGGATTTGTAGTGCTATCAGGGCAGGCCTAGTGTTTAGTGTTCCATTTAACAGAATTCAACAGAACTCACAGAAACATGCCCTAGCCAAGCAGGCCTATCTTATTTTAATTTTTAGTAAGTGAACTAATAGACTATGAAGATACAGAATAAGTCTACAACACACACACACCCCACTCACACACTTTTGCAATGTTTAGAGGTGCAGGATTCCTAAAAAAACGTGGGGAAACTGCAAATAAAAGCACTTTAAAAAACCTAAAATAACACCTCTTTTGGAATCCCTACATCCCCCTATCAAACCGTATGGTCCAGCACTACCAGAATTTGACAACAGAGTTGCACTGGAGGACCTCAAAATTCATAAAGAGACCATATTAATCAAATCCACGAGTAATCAAATCTGCAAAAGCTAAATGGGGAACTAAATGTATTAATTCCAAATTTTAAAATTAAAGAATTGCGTTATTGGATAAGTAATTATTTAGAAGGTTCTGGAGATCATCTGCAATTCATTCTTCATTGTTGATGTTTATTTCTAACTGTCATTAGCCCCAGCTAACGGCTGTCATATAATTTAATCTTGTATATGTTCCAACACATAGTTTTAAAAATATCAGTTTAAATCAAAATGCATGGAATATTTTAAAGCAGTTTCAATCAGGGCCAAACTAGTGAATCTCCATAACAAGGAAGTTCCAGTCACTAAGAAACGTGATCAAGAATCCTATGCCAAGAATACAGAAGAAGTAGAACTGAAGATTCTAAAAGGTTTTAAAGCATAGGAAAAGGATCATCTCCAGCACACAAAACCACCCTTAAATGATTTGTCACTTAGGATTTAATTCTTCAAGATAGCCATTATAAGTATACATCACAGTAACTTTGATTTCTTCAGATATGTATGAGAGAGAAATTGGTGGGGAGAGTTGAAGGGAATGTCAAAACCTTCGCTAACCTTTAAAAGGTTTGTTGTGGGAGTAAGGAATGTGTCAAAACACAACAGGTCCCTAAATTGTACCTTGAAGTTGTTTTAGTGTCAGCAGTCACAAAAGAAAGTAACAAAGACAGGCAGAAATATTAGATAGCACACAACCTTTGAATTGCTGTGATTATATTTAAAGTATGTCACCAGATGATGAATAGATAGTAGATCCTATGCAATGATTGCACAAATGAAACCAATCTTCCATTTTAAAAAAATCCAATAACCAGTTGCTTATAAAAGCAAAATTATTAGAACAATTTAAACAACATAAAAATAACATCGTTGTACTCTATTATTAGCTTGTTTTATGTTTTTTGTTTATTTCTATGTGATGTTTTCCTTTCCCCATTATATCTGTTCTCAGACAAAAGTTGAATGTCTGTTCTTTTCTGATTATATGTGCAATTGGAAAAAGGCAAATATGTGTATATTAGGGCTGGGCGGTTTCGTTTCGTTAATTCGTAATTCGTTAATAATTCGTTAATTTTCTTGATTACGAAGCGATAACAAACCATTCTGGAGCAATTTTTTTAAAAAACGAATTTTTAAATACGTTTTGTAAATGCTTCGTAATTCGTTATGTATTTGTTTCGTTATCGTTTTGAGGTCGTTTCGTTATTATTTCCGCATGTCTGGGGCAAGTTTTATAGTTGTTTTTTGTTTAATTAGTGAAAAAAAATTATAATATCACACCAACAGTCAACAACAAAGGGAGAGGGAAGCTTCAGAAGTTCCCCCTGTCCCATTTGGAGGTTTTTTAGCGTATTTCGCGGTCGCGTCCGCCATTAACGAATCGATTCGTTATTGTTTCGGAAATCTTTTTCGTTAATGTTTTAGGGCTGGGCGGTTTGTAATTTTTAATGTTTGTAATTTTTTCACATTTACGAAATTTCGTAAATATCGAACTTTTTAAAAGGAAAATTTTGTAATTATTTTAAATAACGAAACGCAAAAACCCCCAAAAAACGAATCGATTTTAGAAACAAATTTTTCCGTTGTTACCCAGGCCTAGTGTATATAGTTAAATAAGGTATAAATGTGATCTTTAGTCTGTACTATTGCATTTATATGTAAATGATAAAATTCCCACCTTGAAATTTGCTTACAGAATGATCAAGAAATGTATATGAACATCATAATATAGCCTGATATCATTGGTGGCAGTATTCATTTAGGTTGTATTGTACTGTATTTCTCTGTTTATACCATCTCACCTCCTTTCTGCCAAAGAATGATAACTTGAATGCATACTTAACATATGCTAGCAGTAATCCTTTTTATGAAACATTGTTTTCAAGCCTTTCAGGTTTGTCTGCCAGTTGCAGCTTCTTACAGAAGCAGAGAACTGGTTAAAACAGAATAATGTTTAAACTGAGGACATTTCAGCAGTTCCTTTGAACTATGTAACTCTGTGTCAAGTTATGACATTACCTGGCCAAAGTGTCTGTTGTTTTTTAATCTAATATCAGAGATATTTCACACAAAGTTAATACAGGTGATACAGTTGAACAAAAGAGAAAACCACTTACCTTTTCAGCGCTGTAATAATTATTATGAAGGTGGTGAAATAATTCTCAGCTTTTCTGGAGTACAATCAGTTTAGCCTGCTGAAAACTGTAGAAAGCAAGTAATGTAAATGTATCGGCATTGTGGTGGTCAGGAATGCAGGCAGAAACAGAATTAGGTGGGGCAGTATTTCTCTGGGTGTAATAGAGCACCTGAGAACCAGAATGACCAGCTTTTCAGCTGTCATTGTTGAAACATACCATTACAGGCTTCACAGAATGGGCAGCTTTAGGAATAAAGTGACAGATAATTCCATTGCTCCTGGAAAGAAATACTTCTGTCAGAAAAAAAAAACGTTAACAGAAGCTCAATCTTTATTTGAAAAAAACAAATGCATGCAGTTAACAGGCCTTTTTAAGAGAAAGACTCAATAGATTTTGAAGTGGATTTTTTTATTGCTCAACACATCAAAGTCAAGGCAGATGACTATCAAAACAACTTTTTGTTTTGTATTGTCTTTAAAAAACAAAACAGGGAAATAATTCTGAAATATATGCTGTAAGGGTTGCTACTGTGCTTAAAACTACTTTAGGTTTTAAAAGATTTGTAATTAAAATCTGTAGTGGCATTTTGCTAGTTTAACATGGAACAGATTTTCTTTGTTTGAGTAATCCTGGGGGTGGGAGGGTAAAGAAGCTGTTCATTTTATCTTGCTGCACCTGTCAGGAGGAGTGGTTTACAATAGTCTCTGAGGCAAATGATAGCATAGCTCTTATTCTCTTTCAGCACACCAAAAATTAGCTTTTGATAACTGTGTGAAAGAGAAATGTTAACCATTATAGTTTTCCCTCAACCCTGCATGAAAAATTAGATCCTTGTTGAACTCCCTTTCTTAGGGCATATCTGTACTCCCCAAAGTGGCAGAGAATAGTTTCTGTGTACTGGGCAATCTTATTCCCTAAGACACAGCTGCTTAATGCAGTTATGCTCCACATTAGAGAAAGTTTGGAAATGTTCTGAAGCTTCCCTGCACTTTGCTCTATGTGTCAACAATAGAGCCAGCTCTATTTCAGAACTGGACCTACTGTTCATATGGACCAGTGCCACCATCCCTCTTACCCTCCATTCCATGACAAGGAAAATGGGATGGCGTTTGCATGTGTCATTGTTCATTGTTGTGGCAGAGGCCACAGACCTCCAGAGAGCTTGTGGTCATTGCTTGGTGCAGCAAAGGAAGATGGAGACACCCCTTACTTTTCCCCTCCTTCTCCAGCTGTGCAAGCACCTTTGCTTACATTAGCAAAGGCACTGAACTGACAGCCATGAATTCTCTGAAGCTCAGTAATCACCACTACAGGGACAAATGACAACACAGGTAAGGTGATATTCCCATGGGGTTTTGGTGTTCACACAACTCTTCTCCTGAACTGTATCTGCTCCAGCTACTGATGCAGTTCAGCATCAGTAATGTGAACACCAAAACAGAATCCAGCACTGCTCTGAAGTAGCAATGCTTTGAACAAGCCCTGTATTTTGTTGCCCATATAGATATGCCTTTAGATCAGCGTTCCTCTAATATGACTAGGAGATTTTTCCTCAATCTCAAATCTATGTCCATTGGCTGCTACTGTTTTCTTCTTTCCTAGAAACCTGCCATACACCATCAGCTTATAGGGTAGCACTGGTACACAGACCCAGTATTATAAACAGCGCTATTCCGGAATATTGTTAACAGTTCAGGAATCTTGTTCTTTATGCCACTTATGACCTCATCATATGGGGCTTTTGCTCTGTCCTACGACAGTGCCAGGATGGAGCCCATCAGAGTCCATCATATGACCCAGGGTTACTCTCGGTGGGACCCTGTCCTGGCGCCATCCTTGCAGAGTCATAGGATGGAGCCCTGAGAGCACAAGTAGCTACCCTTGTTCTCATTAACTAAGCTGGGGACTCCATAGGGGGAACCCAGGAAGAAATGGTTTCTCCTGTGTGATGGTGAAAGGGGTGATGTGGGGCATTTAATGATGGCTTTCCTCATGCCCAATGGATTCTCCTGCTGTCCCCCAGCTTAAGGACCTCCATGTGATGAGGTCCTTATTTATTTATTTATTTATTTATTTACAGTATTTATGCCCTTCTCACCCCAAAGGGGACTCAGAGCATCTTTGCAGAATACACATATGACAAACAGTCAATGCCAATTATATAGTAACAAGGACAAAACAACACAAGCAGAGATAAAGGCAGTTTCCCCATCTTATTTCTGGCATCTTGGAGGTTGTGCTCAACTCTGGCCATGGGGGGGGGGGGGTGCCATCGCTCCATCTTCCATGCAGAGGAGCTTTCCTCCAATCAATGTCCTTAAGGGCACCTTTATTAACTCCCTGCTAAAAACGGTACCTATTTTATCTACTTGCATTTCTGCTTTCAACCTGCTGGGCTAATGACGGGTGCTCACCACCACTTATATTACTTATCCAATAGTAAAAGCTTAGAAAATGTGTACACCCAAGATGTTCTGGAAGAAGGGGTTCAATAGCATCATTTTTATCACTTCTTTCTGCCTGTTGTGGTCACTGGAAAGGCTCTGCTGAGGGTCATATGAACCTTCTCAATGCTGTTTCAGTGCAGTAGTATGAAAAATACAACAGAAAACATATTGGAGGGGCTTCATGGAAACAGGGACAGGAAGATTATCATCCACATTCTGTTTCCCTTAAGCATCTCAAAATGCTATACTTACTGTGTCTGTTTGATTAATGTATATTTATAGACATCTCTCACTAGCAATTTTTGCCCATTCTGTATGACATGTATGTTCAAAATTATTCCATACTGGCAGTATTTTGAGAACATAAATCAGTGTGATTACAAGTTGCCAGAATTCTCATTTTGGAAGAAAGGTAGGATATACACTCAAGAAATAAACAAACATTTAAATACCAGTAATAATAACAGTGATTTGTGCTATTAAAATTTTTAATTGAAATTTTTGAGTATCTGGAGGATTTTCAGAAAGGATCTGCTCCTGGAACATATTAAATGCTGTTAAAAGCAACATAATGTGAACAGAGACTAACCTCAGTGCAAACATTTCTGTAAACTAGACTTGTTTCCTAAAATGTGATGTTTAGCAATATCATGGAGGCTCACTGTCATCACAGAAGTTTTTGGGATTAAGAACTTTTTATTTTGAAATCGTCCATGAAAAACAAAGTACGATGAAACCTTGTGCTGTGTGCTCATTTTGAGTTATTGATAGTGATGCCAGAAAGGCTTGTGCTTTTGTTGTAATTGTTCTCATACATCATATAAACAGAAAAAATTCCAGATTGACTGAACCATCTGGAGTCTGAAAAAAGTGCATCTAGAGTGGAAATAATAAGCCTATTGATTTTATCCTCCAGTGAAAGGGAGTAGTCTGTTACACGTACCTCATCCTCTGGTGAAGGGGAGTAGTCTGTTACATGCAAACCTTATCTTTTATGGCTGAAGGACTACTGCAATGAAATTCACTGATCTGTTCATCTATTTTGTTTCTCAGAGAGTCAATGTTAGAAGTGAGTGGGCTGTTGTCTAAAAGATGATGGTGAATCAAAGGGGAGCAAAGTAGTGCCCATTCCACATACTTACTTACTTACTTACTTACTTACTTAGGCGATCCCTCGCTTTCCGAGGATGATTGTCTTCCAATATTCTTGTGGGTCCGTATGTGGCTGTGGAGCCCTATTCTTGCTCTGCATCTTCTTCCACCATGAGGGCATTGGTTTCCAGGTGGAAGGCGGTCTCGGTCGGGGTTGGCTTGACGCGCCTTCCTCTTGGCACATTTCTCTTTTTCACCCTCCACTCATGCCTCCTCAAATTCTGCAGCACTGCTGGTCACACTGACCTCCAGCTGGAGCGGTGAAGGGCCAGGGCTTCCCAGTTCTTGGTGTCTATGCCAGAATTTTTAAGGTTGGCTTTGAGCCCATCTTTAAATCTCTTTTCCTGTCCTCCAACATTCCGTTTTCCGTTCTTGAGTTCGGAGTAGAGCAACTGCTTTGGGAGACGGTGGTCAGGCATCCGGACAACGTGGCCGGTCCAGCGGAGTTGATGGCAGAGGACCATCACTTCAATGCTGGTGGTCTTTGCTTCTTCCAGCACGCTGACGTTTGTCCGCTTGTCTTCCCAAGAGATTTGCAGGATTTTCCGGAGGCAGCGCTGATGGAATCGTTCCAGGAGTTGCATGTGACGTCTGTAGACAGTCCACGTCTCACAGGCATATAGCAGGGTTGGGAGGACAATAGCTTTATAAACAAGCACCTTGGTATCCCTACGGATGTCCCGGTCCTCAAACACTCTCTGCTTCATTCGGAAAAATGCTGCGCTTGCAGAGGTCAGGCGGTGTTGTATTTCGGTGTCAATGTTGACTTTGGTGGAGAGGTGGCTGCCAAGGTAGCGGAAATGATCAACATTTTCTAATGTTACACCATTAAGCTGTATCACTGGCATTGGAGAGGGGTTGGCTGGTGTGCTGGAACAGCACCTTGGTTTTTTCAATGTTCAATGACAAGCCGAGCTTCTCGTATGCTTCTGCAAAGGTGTTTAGAGTGGCTTGTAGATCTTCTTCTGAATGCGCACAGATGACGTTGTCATCAGCATACTGGAGTTCTATAACAGATGTTGTTGTAACCTTGGTTTTGGCTTTCAGTCTGCTGAGGTTGAATAGCTTGCCATCTGTCCGCTAGATGATTTCCACTCCGGTGGGAAGCTTCCCATCAACAAGGTGAAGTATCATAGCGATGAAGATGGAGAATAGAGTTGGGGCAATAACACATCCCTGTTTGACACCAGATTCCACCTTAAATGGGTCACTTTGGGAGCCACTGCTGTCCAAAACTGTTGCCATCATGTCATCATGGAGGAGCCGCAGGTTGTTCACAAATTTGTTTGGGGACGCGATTTTTTGGAGGATGGTCCAGAGAGCGCTGCGATTCACTGTGTCAAATGCCTTTGCAAGGTCGATGAATGCCATGTACAGAGGTTGGTTTTGTTCCCTGCATTTTTCTTGGAGCTGTCGTGCAGTGAAGATCATGTCCACGGTTCCTCTGGAGGGGCGGAAGCCATTCTGGGATTCTGGGAGGGTGTCTTCTGAGAGGGGCAGAAGGCGGTTTGCAAGGATTCTTGCGAGGATTTTC